TATTAAATTTTTGCCCCTCAGGCCCCAATGTGGGTCAGTGACCTATGCCCGGGTGGGCTAATCCCCGTAAAAAAACAACGACGACAAAGCCGGGGGAAATTAAGGTTTGTTTACATCCGGCAGCTCTCTCTCTGTGCTTGTCTATACAGAGCATAACATTTAACCCTTCAATATATATTCTAGCAGTAAATAAGTGTTGCTTTCATATTCTTAAGTAGAGTAATGACGACATGTTTTCACGTGTGCGCACTTACATACGCGCAGTTTCACTTTTTTTTACCATTGATGGTTAGCTACTTATATTGTTCCATTTATTAACATTAAATAACATTACTTCAAACAAGCATATTAATTTTTTTACATTAATTTTACTACAGCTACAATCAGGGTCTTATTTTCTTCAGTTTTATATGTAGAACCAATCTGTCACCGGTTTTGTAAGCTTTAACAAAAACAATGCCGGCAGCCGTCTCGTCTCGTCGCGCGGTTTAATATTACACGTATTAGTAATAAATTGTATTGTTAATTTTGCACACACAAACATTAATTCAATAAAAACAAATTCAGAAACATTAATTAAAATATATATGAACAGTAAATAAGTGTTGCTTTCACATTCTTACGTAAAGTAATGACGATACGTTTTCACGCGTGCGCACTCGCATACGCGATCTCTGTTTTTCTTTACCATTATCGTTAGCTACTTCTATTGTTCCATGTATTAACATTACTTAAAAGAACCATATTAATTTTTCTACAGCTACAACCGGGGTCTTATTTTCTTCAGTTTTATACGTAGAACCAGTCGGTCACCGGTTTTGTAATCGACGAAAACGGTGCCGTCTCATTTCCTCGCGTTTTAATATTGAGCGTATTATTAATGAATTGTATTGCTCATTTTGCACACACTAACATTAATTCAATCCAAAAGACTTTCAGTAATAAATAATAACGAATCTTTCGTACATAAGAGAAATAACGCCGTTTACACGATCGTGCACGTCGTCCGAACGTCGGCGGGCCATTCAAACCCGTCGAAATTTGAGTTTCCGCCGTCAAAAGTTTTAAATGTGTCGGCTTTTTTTGTGCGTTCAAATAGAAAACGTCGAATTAAAAACTCGCGAAATTTGAGAAGGTACTGTACGACATTTAACCCTTCAATATGTCTTCAAAGAGACCACGAAGCAGAGAAAGTGGTGCTAGTGCTTCCAAGTGTAAACAGAAGTCACTATCTGTCCAGGAAGAGGGCGAATTTCCACGGTCGGGAAATTTCCGGCGTCCGGCACCGGTCGGGTCCCGTGGTTGCCGGACCGGAGAGGTACAACCTGTACTTGTATTTCAGTACACTTGTACAGTAATCCTATAAAAGTGGGCATTTATGTAAATGTTTGTGCGTAAAGTCGCGTCCCATTGGCGTCGGCGGTACGCGACACTTCCAAAATATGGCCCAGATTCACGTTTTTCATCCCATACCCAATTTTGAATGTGTGTTTATTTCGTGGTTCTTTAAAGTACAGTACAGTATATTAATAACTTTAACTTTCGTTTTCAAAACATAATGTCATTGTTTATTAATTATGATACTCTATAAATGCTGTGGTACTCTAAATACTTTTTTCTACTTATATGAATCAGTTGAGTTGAGTAAACTTTTATTTGCATAGTTTTGAAGAAGACTACAGGACATAGTTTAAATTTTTACATATCAACAGTGCAGTACTTTATCTTAAGTAATATTTTCAGGCACTTTCTCCAACACTGCCTACAGTGGACCTGATGTGAACTAGAATGAAGTTGGCTGGACATAAAGTTTACTGGACCTCAAGTAGTCTGTGGTATTGTATTTAATATTGTTGTGGTACTTTGAATGTTAGGAAAGTTCTACAGGCATTCCCCAGTTTGAAAGAGTACTGTGTCTTATAAAAACCTATGGTAAATCGAATCACTATTCCTATAGACTCACATTATAAAAGCCAAGATACTTTTCTACAACGAAAACAGTTCCCCCCAAATTATGTACGGTCCCCCAAAAAGTATCGATTGAATTTTCTAGCGGTAAAATTTGAAACTCTAGATGAAATACTTTGCTGTGATCCCCAGTGCATCAGCATAAGTTGGTACAGGTACATCCGGTCACTATATGAGCAATAGCCGTAGACGGCGGGTAGCGAGGGAGTCGTCCTCGTGTGACATACGACCGTACGGTATATGCTTTACTATAACAAGAAATTCATTGAGCTATATTAATGTATGTATCGTGCCGGTTAGAAGCGAGGCCCCGACCGAGGATTACAAAAATATCGGAATATACATTAAACGGAAGAGTTTTGGAACGTCACGAGCTAGACCGAGACGGACCTCGGGGCATACGTTTCGCCACCGCGTCGTAGTGACGGTTTTATTCGTACCGAGATGCACAATGTAGTCGTCGACGACACGTCTGATTTTTGAGGAGTGACGGAGCAAATAGTAGTTGATATTAGAGTGAACAGGTACAGCAATATACAATATATTGGTCTAAATGGGATCTGCCAAATATTATCGATACGTAAATGGCGTCGGTTTAACGTCAAAATAAGATTTTAATCGGCGCGTCGCCCGTCGTTTAGCGGCGGGTAACCCATCGCGATGCCCGAGGGTTCGCTCGCCCCATTGTGCCGAGTTATTCGAGCGTTGCGCGTACCCTCGTCGCGAAGGCTAATAATAGCGCCTCTCTCCCCGTTGTGTCTTTCCGATAATTCCTCGGTTCATTTGACGTACGATCCCGGTAATGACCGGCTCGGCGTCCGTTTACGACACGCAATCCAAATTCGCGCTACGTGCGATGCGAATCCTCGGAGGATTTGCATCTTTCAAAAACACATACAGTCGCGGTCATCCTAACATGTTAAGTATATTTTACCTTAATTGAATGAAATATTCTTGGAAATGTAATATTTTTGCTGGAATGACGTACATATTATAGTGGGAAGTGGGATAAAATCACGAGGAAAGACTTTCGCTTTCTTTCGTTGTTCAAAATATTTTACCGTAATCGCTTTTCGAATGGTTTTCAGTTAAAAAACTGTTGTATTACAATAATATTCTATCCTAATTCACTTGTGATGCAACAGTTTTTTAACTGAAAACCATTCGAAAAGCGATTACGGTAAAATATTTTGAACAACGAAAGAAAGCGAAAGTGTTTCGTCATGATTTTATCCCACTTCCCACTATAATATGTACGTCATTCCAGCAAAAATATTACATTTCCATATTTATTTCCGAGAATATATTCATTCAGTCACGGTTAAGGTAAAATATACTTGTGATGTAATATTTTAATGAAAATCCAGTATCGTAGTTTTTTCTTGTTTCAAATTTAATTAACAAAGATTGATGCTTGAAATGTAATGAACAAAAATTTATGTCCAGTATCTACGAGTTAACTTTAATGAATGAATACTTTGTTTTACATCGTCCTGTGCTACCATACCATGGATTTGGCTACTTTGGGCTCGCAAGAGATCTGCCCTGGCAACTGTACCGACACTCACAGCTGGTGGTGTGTTGGTGCATCGTTTCCATTGTTTTCTGGTAGTTACTGGTAAATATTTTTCAACCTAACGAAACTATTACCCGTTAAGAGGTCGACCCCCAATTTTTGCCAAATAATTTTGTCTTAAAAACTCGAACTACACACAGGTATATACGGTAAATAAGGACATGGGGGGGCCAGGGATTGTTTTTTGGGGGGGGGTAGCAATAGTACACGGATTTTTAACATTCACGGGTATCTCTGTTACCTAACCCCCGCGAATGTTAAGGGCCGACTGTACTTCAATTACTTCAATGTACAGAATATTCCTCTGGCGGGGCAATCCGCGTATTTGCGAATCCGTGAATGCTAAACCCGCGTATGTGAAAGGCCGACCGTACGTCCGTGCCCCCCCTCGAAAAAACACTTCCGTGATGCCTGCTGGACCACCACTCCAAGACCCCCCTGATGGAGACACGACGATCCTTCCCGTACTGGCTAGATGTTATGTGTTAAAGGAATATCATTCCTTAGGCTTTAGTAAGCATTTTCCTCCAGGTGTAATGTTAACCTACATCTATTGAGGATAAAATCTTTCACCTACAAATTGACAATAACACATTTGCTGTAATCGGACATATCTAGTTGCCTCAACAATTGCAACCCTAGTTGCAATTTGAAATTCTGTGTCATTACTGAGGAATAACGAAGTCTCTGGTGCACTGCACTCTAAGATTAAGAGAAAATGGACTCGGGCATCCCGAAGGGAGAGAAAACGGACTTCCACGACGGGAGACTCGAGCACTAACACGTGCCACTCATACCGAGAGACTTGACAAGTTTTACCGACCATTAGTGATGTACGTTATCTAGTGAATTTAGTCAATATTGTACAGTATAAGTATACTGCAATTACAGCGGTCCCTCGGTTAACAATGGACCCGAGTGCAAACCCTTACTGTACGTGTACTAAACGATTACGGTACTTAAATTGTTATGTCTATGGCAAATATAGATTGTTTACACAGATATTCAAATACTATCTTACAAGTTATATTCACCCAGGTCGTTTGGGTGGCAAATTATGAGAAGAGCTTAGTCACTCTTAAGTAATGATAAATAAACACTCGGGCCTTCAGCGCCAACTGTCAAATCTTATCTCAAATAAATAAAGACATTGTCACCTCACTTCCCCCCCCTGCTCGCTGGCTACCTCCCTCCTTGTGTTCCCAGACAAAACATTGGTGATAACTTTATGCTTTAAGGTGTTTATTTTATATAATATCTCAGACTAAAGTTAGGGGATTACAATTTGCATAGCTGGAATCCTTGCAAGACAGCCAATAATTTGAATATAAACATTATATATATACTGTATTTTGTTGAAGATATAAAAATTGTAGTACATTTTATAATATAAAGTTTTTCAACTGTATTTTTGGGTAGATTTATATCAATTTCTTCATTTATTTTCATCCATTTACATGCAGACACCACAATAAAAGAAACGTAAAAGAAATAAACGACCTCGGTGCAAAGCCGGAGCATTGTTGTACTAATTTGATTACGGTACAAAAATTGTTATGTCCGGTGCAAATTACAGCATGTTTATATTCAAATTAATCAGTATGTTACAAGAATCCCAGCAATGTTAATTATATTGTACCAGGTCATTTCACTGGCATTTTAAAATGAGAGAAGCTTAGTAGGACTGTTAAATAAACTCACAGAGACCTTCGGCTCAAACTGTCAAACATCTCCTCTTAACTCTCTCCCCCATCTGTTGAGCCAGGGTTTTAGGCTTACAGTTTTTATCTTACATAATATTTCAGACTAAAGTTAGGAGATTATAATTTGCATTGCTGGAATCCTTGCAAGACAGCCAATAATTTGAATGTTAACGTCATATATTTTGCTCGAGAGATAAAAATTGTTGTACGTTAGTGTACAGTACTGTAGTACATTTTATAATATAAAGTTTTTGAACTGTATTTTTGGGTAGATTTACATCAATTTCTTCATTTATTTTCATGCACACAGCATACTAAAAGAAATAATTGACCTTAGTGCAAAGCTGGAGTTTTGTTGTACTAATTTGATTTGGGTACTAAAATTGTTATGTCTAGTGGAAATTATAGCATGTTTATATACAAATTAATCAGTATGTTACAAGAATCCCAAGAATGTTAATTATATTCACCCGGGTCATTTCCCGGCCGGGAAAAAATGCGCCACAGACCCGGGCGCCAACCGTCGGTGTCGCCGGGCTTTATCTTAAGTAATATCACAGACAAAAGTTAGAATTTAATTTGCATTGCTAAAATCGTTACAAGACGGCTAATAATTTTAACATAAACGTTGTATATTTTGCACAAGAGAAAAAAATTTGTAGCCCTTTGTAATAAAATTAGTTACAACTAAAATTTGTATGTGAACTATAGCATGTTTATATTCAAAGTAATCACAATTTTATAAGAATTCCAGCAATGTTAATTATATTCTTCCAAGTCAGTTTAGTGATATTTCATAAGAGAAAACCTGAAAGTCACTGTTAAGGACAGATAAATAAATAAGCTCTAGACCTTGGCATCAACTGTCAAACCGATAACCCTCCTCCCCATCTTGCCGCGAATCCGATCACGAGTAAACGGGCCATTTCGCGTCTCGTAATTTTAGCCGCGTCGATTTACGAGCGTCCGTTTTAACGCGATACTACAAAAACGATGTTTTGTAGGAGATGGGCCGAGGTGCATTTGGGTATATTGGGTCTTTTTAGTATTTTGTGTTAGTCTCGAGTACCAAAGTAAATTGTTCCATTGAAACCACTTTAATTGAGTCCAAATTTGGTTTAAAGCTATTAGCTCTCTAGGAATGCGCCTCGCGTCACCGACGCGTACGCGGGACCGGTAACAATTTTACGTAACCGCGTCGACGACGTAATATTCGACAATGCCGTCGGGTCGTCGACGTCCCGTTTCTTCGTTTAGTAAATAGTCGTGGCGATTTTTGTCGCGCGCGTGTCCGTCGACGGGCACGCCGAGGGCGGTCCGTCCGCGGATGCGGGCCCGCTCGAGATTCGGCCCGTATTGCGCAGTCGTACGGTCCGTCGTCGTTTGCGAGAAGTACTCGTTTACGTAGTCTCGCGTGCAGTATATTGCATTTTCTAGCAATAGACTAGTTACGATCGTAGATTAGTTCCATCACGTAGGGTATCGTCTCGCCGTCGGCCCGGGACACACCTCCGGCCACTCGACACTCTGCTTACCGGTACACGACACAAATTAAAAATGATCAACACGATATTTTACGAGGGCATTATGATTGATTTATAATACCCTATGCAATGGTTGTATAGATGTAGTGCAGTATAATTATTAAATGCAGGCAGCATTCACATCACAAACTTAACCCACAGAAGAAGTCGCCTCGGGCAGCGGAAGCGCGATCCGGGAGAAGGACACGAAGAACGACCGTAGATCGTCGCTCCGGAGACGGGTCGGCGAGTGCCGCTCTCCGACGCGAGACGATCGTCGAGAATAACCTACGTGTTTTTCTATTTTTATGGATGCTATTTTAAGGATAACTAAAGCTCAGTCAACGGTTATTTTAGCTTAAGGTCATATTATACGTGTATTTGTAATGTACAGTATTTCATTGAGTAAGAATGCTAAAACTTGCCCGGCGGTCGACCCCCAAAACAACTGCGGCGACCCGCTCCGGCACTCGAGAAGACGGAAGCTCCGAGTACACGACGTTAAAGATTAACGGATAGTTTGACGACTATACCACCCCTTGTTCCCTCTACCTCCAGCTAAATGTATCCCTCCCTCCACTTACCACTCTTCCTTTCCTCATCTATTATCTTTCCCTTCCACCCCTCTATCCCACCATCTGTCCCCCCTCCCTTTCTTCACGTACCATTCTTCCTTTCCTTATCTATTATCCTTCCCTTCCACCCCTCTATCCCTTCCCTCCACATACCACCTTTCTCTCCTAGCACCTGTCGTTCCTTTTTTGTGTTTTATTTAATAAGTTTTATAGTATATGATGGTCACCTTATTAATAATGTACCATTTTGTGTGATTACAATTACACTACACACACTTAGTCGAAGTGACCAGTTATTAGTGTTGATATTAATGGGATAAATATTAGATAAGTTTATTGGAGTTTGCTATAAAATATGTGACTATAATTATAAATTGTGAGTGTGAAGAAGGGTTTATAAGTTGTATATATGTCAATTAGAGGAACAAATAATTTGCTAACCACACCCTAGTCCTTCAATGGAAAACGCATCGAAATGCGCAGCGGCGAATGCATTCGGCGGGAGAATAATGCGGCGACACGCGTAGAATACTCGTACGCCACTCTCGGGCACGTACGTTTCCATTTACTAAAGTTAGGTGGGTTTGTTTGGGTGGCGTGGGACCCAGAGGGCATCGGCAGGCGGTCGCGTCCGGCGGTTGCCGTGCGAGAAATTGGGAGGACGGGCTTTCACGTTGCAGAAACTAAGGAACGGCATCTTCCGGCGGAACCACAGCCCGCGATTAAAGGAACGCTCGGGTTTGACGCCCACGGACCGAGCGCGCGGCTCCTCCGCCGTAACAAGAGTAGTCGATTGAAGTCCCCTCTTTTGCCTGGGTGGATGTGTCTGTGCTAACCGTTTTAGGCAAGTGAATGTTTGGTACAGCAGATTTGGGGATTCATTGTAGGGTAGACTTGCCATACAGTGCAGTGTTTTAATTGGTATTATATTGCGGCGATCGGCGAGCACGGAGACCGAAGCCTCACTCGACCGTGTCTCGGGAGGCGTGGGGTTTGGTCCGAGGCCACTCGCAGTCATCGTCGAGGGTATAGTCCGGAACGCCGTTCGACGTGACGTCTCGTCGAAATTCCGGAGCGGTCTTCTCGTCGCGGGGCGCGCCGGAGGTCGACGCTACGACGTTCCCGGAGGGGTCGTCGTCGTCGTCGTCGGGTATTTGACGTGCATCCGGAGTAGAACGAGGGCACGCGTCGAACCGTCGAAAGTGCGCAAGAAATGAGATCGCGTAAATAACGGCAGATTAATTTCGTCGACACTCGTACGTATAAGAGTGCAAAGTAAATAAATAATACGTATTTTTTTTATGGGAATTAGCCCACCCGGGCACGGGTCACCGACCCACATCGGGGCGAAAATGTAATAATAATAATAATAATTGTTGAAGTTACAGTGTTCATTTTTGGTGGATATCAACGAAATATGATGCGAGAGGCTCAGACGACGACACAAACGACGACGCTCTCTCCGGTATATTTTCGGGACCGTCCGTAAAAACGAAACCAAAACACGCGTGCGCATTCAAAGTGGCGCATTATTGCACAAGTAAAATAAAACATATTGCCATAAATATGGGGTAACCTAGTTTATATGTAACAATAATACTGAAGAACCTTAAAGAAATACAAAATGGAAAAAAAAATCAAAAGTGAGGAACAATAGATTTATGTTGTGTTGTCAATAGTAAGAGAAACAATCGAGACAGAGAGTCAGACGAGCGACCCGGGACTCGGTCACAATTTTAGGGATGCCACGTAGCAGGAAGATCTACCACGGACGACACATTACGCTTCCAATATTGTCTGCGGAGGTGGTATCTCCCCGTTTGGTGGCTGCCTAAGTATGTAAGATTTTCCAATGGAAAGTGTATGTTTGGCAAATGTATCCAGGTCTTTAGAGAATGTACTCAGATATTTGGGTTAGGTGTCAAGGGTTCATGTATAATTTGCATGCCTAATTGACTATGTATATTTTTTAACCTTAATTTTTCATTTGCAGTCACCCGACGGGAGTCAGAAACGTCATTTTTGTGCGGACCGGCGACTCGACGGACCCCGGCCGAGGACGCCGCTCGAACCGCGGGTGAGAATGTCGGACGACGCCGTATTGTAATGTTTATATCGCAGTGTACGGTATTTACTTAATGGTTCTCTGAAGAATAGGAATGCGTATGTGGCGTGCCTCGGCGTCTCCGTAGGAATTGCGTAGAGTAAGTGGAAGGTTTTTAAGGGAGACGAGAATTTATTAAGCGGCGCGTCGTCGACGAAATATCGAAGGAAGTTTTGACCGGTTACCGAGAGGAAATAAGACGGGAATTTACGAGTAAAAGAGTAGTAGAACGTAAAGATAACGAGGGAGAAATGAAAATGCGACCGACGACGAGACTCGGGTGCCATCGAAAATGCGTAGAGGGACGGACATTACAAGTGTTATAACGAGAGTACTTAATTTAGCATAGAGATATAGAATTGAAGGTGTCATATCTGGTCTAAAAGTGTTGGATACAATATGAAAAGTATTATTAAAAAATGGGAGTTTAAGCCAAGGGTTAGGGTGCTGCTGGCACTTCCCCCTCCCTTCCTATTGGGATAAATCGAGAAACAAGATGAATTCTCCCCACCCCCTCCTCCACAAAGGGGAGACCAGATGGACGTCACCTGGGTGTAAGGGTTAAGAATGTAGTAGCTTGTAATGGAGGATGAGGTATATGTATTTATGTCCTATGTTTTATACTGTATTGCAAGTAGGCGTTATTGTATGCACATTGCGGGTCATAATAGGAACGCGGCACGCCGGAGGCGGGTACACGGGACGATCCCTCGGAACAGAAGCCGAAAGTTCGTGGCGTGGGTATATCCACTTCCCTTAAAAGTGTAATTAGGGATCCTCCTCAGACACATTGCACCATTTGAACGCAGACGTAAGATTATCCTCATCGCCGTACACGTCCCGAGGAGACGAGGCGTATCGAGTTTACGCGGATGCATACGAGACGTTTCCTTTCGAGTACGGGTAGTTCTGCTATAATGCGATAGTTGTGTTCTTGTAAAACATCGTGTTATAGAAATTCGTGTAATAGAAATGACAGGGCTTATGGAGAAAATAGGTTTAGGTGCAGATTACTCCAAATCGACAAAAATTTCGTAGTACAGTCTAAATAAATGTTACATTGATATCTAATATTGAAATCATACAGTAAATGTTACACTTGACCTTGAAAAAATCTGAATATAACTTGATGGGGGAGAAGATTGATGTTGAGGAGTCATGAAACATCAAGCTTTTCTTCGAGTGTTATAGCCTTTCTTTTATGATCACCAGAGTGCTTCCCAGAGATATTCTTCTTTTCCATAGTCACAAAATTGGAGAAACAGTAATCACCGAGGACACTTAAAAATTTCACACGTGTTTCAAACAAAGTGTGGAGTAAACAGAGCGCGCGGGTCTAAAACGCTATGTATTTTGTTTTTCTCTTATTTAAAATTTTACATATACTGTAGAGGTATACTGTATACATAAATATTACATAAATTATTTGTGCAATTCTTCACAAACAAAACACATAAATCAATTGAACTTGCGATGTCGAACGTGAACTGTAAACACTGCATAACCCTGCGCCAAGCCACAATGTAAAGTACACTTTAAACGCTACTTATTTTGTTTTTCTCTTTTATTTAAATTTTTACAATTTACATATTCATCTTATGCTACAGCGCCCACAAAACACGAGAAACGTTCGAGTCCCCCAGTAGAGATGTCCATTCTCTATCCACTCGAGGATGTGTCGGTCGTCCGTTTTCTTTTTGTGTACTCGCTCGGGGACTCGAGTTTATAACACAGGATGATAAGGGAATTTGAATTTATTTGTTGATTTATTTATTTATAATATACTGTAATATATTAAATATGCTGCAAGTATTTTGTTTAATTTATATACTTTTTTCTGGAAAAAGGGAGGCTACCATTATACCCGGTAATGTACATTTATGGCGATCGTTAAGGACCAAACTCCGAATCCGTGACGTGACTTCCGTTCATCATTTATGTCCTAAATTTACCAATGTGGGTAGTTTCAAGAATTAACGCAGTCATTTACCGAATATTCTTTGCCCAAAAATAAATTTCAAATGAATTATTTATAGGAGATAAGTATTATGATCAGTAAATATACCGATATGCATTACCGACCACAAGGACGGCTAAAAATAGGCACAGACGGTCACAGTCGAGGTCACTTTCCCTTTGTTGTCACTGTAGGACCTTGTGAGTGGTTTACTGTATACATAAATATTACATAAATTATTTGTGCAATTCTTCACAAACAAAACACATAAATCAATTGAATATGCGAAGTCGAACGTGAACCGTAAACACTGTGTGATGTAAAGAGAGCGCCGGTGTGAAACGCTATGTAATTTGATTGTCTCTTTTATTTAAAATTTTACAATTGACTTATAATATATAGGTATACTGTATACATAAATATTACATACATTATTTCTGCAATTGTTCACAAACAAAACACACGACTCAATTGAACACGCGATGTCGAACGTGAACCGAAGCCATAACAATCGTTCGAGTGGAATCGCGTCGGAGGAAACGAGTTCGCGTTTTACAAATATCGTTCCTCAATTCATAAATCGCGTCGTCAAAACACGCGTTATAGCAGAACTCGCCGTATAGTTTTTGGTTCACCGCCAACACGTTTATCCTCGTACCGGATCTCCGTCGTCGCGTATTTTTACGCGACATCTGCGGAAGTTACGTTCACAGACGTAAATGGTACGACCTCGAGAGCACGACGTACATTCGGTCGTAAAGTACACCGGTCCGGATCGAGTGGACTTTCCCAATCGTCTTATAGATTTCTCGAGTTCTTGGGAATGGTACGAATATGTACAATTAATATTATGTTATGTATAGGTATATTGTATGTTTTTTGATAATCGTTAAGTATGGGAGGTGGCGACGAGCACACCGTACCGACGGGTGGAGGAGCGTCGAGTTTGATTTTGTATTAGGCGACGGGGTCGCGGGTATTTACGGAGATACGTCGGCGCCCGCGTACGGCACGAGCGGGAGGAGTAATTTGTGCGGGACGTAATTGTGGGGTAGTCGAGTATGCCTGTGTGTTTTAGTTGGCAATAGTGTGTAGATATGTTTGTGTATAGGTATACTGTAGAAAGAATGAAGTTAGATGAAGTTTGTTTGGGAATTAGTATAATTTGTAATAGTAGATAATTGTCGATATATTTTGACAGTAATTTGTCCGTTTCAGTTGCGGAGGAGCGCGCCGATACGAGTCGGAGACGGCTCGTACAGTCGGCGCACGAGAGCGGTCCGGACGAAGACATTCGGGAACCGAGGACGAAGACGCTCGTCCACTGCGGACGAAGACACCGGTCGACGCGCGAGGAAGATGCTCCGGAACACGGGAAGAACGCCACACTCCCGAGTGCGGGAAGACACTCGTCAACGCAGAAGGAGACACGCATCAATGTCGGGCCGGCGCGATTGTTTTAAAGACGATTTAACGTGTAAAATGAATGTACGTGTTGTTTGTAACGATGTTTGTAGTATTGTTTTTAGAGACCGACTCTGCGAAGACGGAGGAAGTCGATACATGTCGAGAATGAATTTATTGAAGATGTTGCCTGTGATCACTAGGTGCTTGCACTAATTTGGGGAGATGATTACGATCGTAGAACGTCACGGAATGCGGCGCGCATCCGTAAATAACGGCAGCATAAATACGAGAGAACGCGGTGGCGGCGGCGGGGAAGTGCGCCTTTTGAAAGTAAAAGAACGGGGGAGATCGGACCGACATAGATGGTGTTGTTGTGGTAACCGATAAGAATGGAGAAATGATGACTATTTGGTGGGTTTTTTAGGACAGAGAGAGTAGTTATATATTAGTGAAGATATAAAGTAAAAGGTGATAAGGATGGTGGTGGGGGGGGGACAACGAATGATATATTTTGTAGGGTATTAAAGGAATTGACTCGTCAGTGCCGAGTCGGCGTAATTGTGAGAAACGGATGCGACGGGGATTGTAAAGAAGTCGCGCGGTAGAGGAATTGGCGGAAGCGACGATCGCAATAACCTTTCGACGTGGGACGGACGACGACGAATTTAGTAAATGGCGGTTTAGGAAAGGGTCGTACGTAAAGCGGCGGGTGCGGGCGCGTGCGGATACGGACGACGGTCGATCGGGGTCCGTTTACGGGACGGGAAAGAGGACCGACGGGAATTCGGACGGAGACGAGGCGGCGCACAAACGAAAGTATACCCGCGAGATGCGTAAAGAATAATTTGGAAGTAGATTTAACTAAGAGTCGCGTGTTTGAAATGGCGGGAAGGTTCGACAGGTGTATTAGTTTTACGTAATTGTGGCAGTGCGTTTGAGAGCGGGCAGTCGTGGAGTGCGCGTGGGTACCTATTTTGAGACCGCGACATCTACCGGTAAGGAAATACGTAATGCAGCAGTAATATATTTGTGGCCTGAATTTATACTCGTTCACCCGTACTCCGTGTTGCTCCACTCGTGTTAAGGTGTTTATTGTGAAGGCGTTTGTATAATAATAAAATTTGTTGGACGAGTAGGGGAAGGAATACGAGCACAATGTTTAATTTGTAAGCCCTCCCTTTTTTGTCTTTTCCCTCTGCCTCCCCGTCCTCCTCCTCCTTTTTTGACGTGTTTGTCGTGCGGCTTCTTTTCCCTCCGTTTCATTGCAACTCCCTTCGTTTTTCTCCCCCCTACCTGCTTCTGTCCGTCCTCTTCTTCTTCCTGTTTCCTTCTTTTACTCCTCCTCTTCGCCATATGTCTTCCTCGTTTATTCTTTGGCTTGTTCTGCGTCTGTTCCTTCTCCTCCTCTGTTTGATTGTGATTCCCTTGTTGTTTCTCACCCTCCCATTGCTCTTGATCCTGTTGTTACTCCCATTTGTTGGTTGTTTTTGTGTTCGTGTATATGTTTGTTGTTACCAATTGAATTTGTGGTTGTATTACTGCTGCTGTGTGTATGTTGGATTGTATTTATTTGTTGTTATATATATGTTGTGAGTGTGAATTAGATATATTGTGTTGATATTTGACTAAATGTTGTTGTTAAGAAGAGGAGGAGTTCTATTTAGATTTGGAAAGTAACTGTCATCGAGGACGAGAATGCACGTACCGTCTGTAGTTTGAATACGCGGTCGCGTCGGGTTTGGGCAGTTATATATCGGGAAATAGTCGAAGAGTGTAAGTTAATGTTGTGGACTTGTGAAATTGGTGATTGTGGAATAGTTATTGGTTTTAATTTGAAGGGTGTCAATTGCGCACCGGGAATATTTTGTCGGGAGTTTGGCGTCGTCGGAATCGACCGGAACGGCTGGAGTCGCGGAGTTATTTTTTGTCGTCGTAGATTCGTTCGCGGAGTCGTCGACGAAAGTCAATCGTCCGCGGATCGGTCGTCTTCGAATATTTGTAGACTTGTATATGTTTGTTTGTAATTGATTGAAGTTATTTGTAGTTTGAAAAATGTTTTGACTTGTTGTTGTTGTTTGATTATAGTATAGTCATTTGTGCAGTTTGAAATTATTTTGGTTTGTGGATTTGGAAAATGTGTTGCATGTATGTGGACTTTGAATAAGTGAGATATTTTGTGGATTTTGTATATTTTTCATGTTTGTGGACCGAAATGTCGTACCTCTAGTCGGGCAACCTCGTGACCGGACCGGTGCCGGACCATGGAAATTGACCCTTTTCCTGGATAGATAGTGACTTGTGCTTATGCTTGGAAGCACTAGCACCACTTTCTCTGCATCACGGCCTCTTTGAAGACATATTGAAGGGTTAAATGTCGTATAGTAGCTCGTCAAATTTGGAGAGTTTTTAATTCTTAACGTATTTTATTGGAACAGAGCCAAAAATAAATAAATAGAAATTTTGACGGGTTTGAACGGCCCGCCAACGTGCAGACGACTGGCACAATCGCGTAAAGAGCGTCATTTCTCTCGTGTAGAAAAGATTCATTATTGAATGTCTTTTTTATTGAATTACTGTTTGTGTGCAAAATGAGCAATACAATTCATTAATAATACGTAGAATATTAAAACACACGGCATTGTTTTCGTCGATTACAAAACCGGTGACTGACTGGTTCTACATATAAAAGAGAAGAAAATAAGACCTTGGCTGTAGCTGTAGTCAAATGACTATGGTTGTTTTAAGTAATGTTAATAAATGGAACAATAGAAGTAGCTAACGATAACGGTAAAGAAAAAAAAGAGATCGCGCGCGTAAGTGGGCATGCGAAAAGATATCGTCATTACTTTACGTAAGAATACGAAAGCAACACTTATTTACTGTTCATATATATTGTAATTGATGTTTGTGAATTTGTTTTTATTGAATTAATGTTTGTGTGTGCAAAATTAACACTAGAATTTATTATTAATACGTGGAATATCAGAGGAGACGAGACGAGACGAGACGGCTGCCGGCATCGTTTACGTTAAAGCTCACAAAACCGGTGACCGATTGGTTGTACATATAAAACTGAAGAAAATAAGACCCTGATTTTAGCTGCAGTAAAATTAATGTAAAAAAATTAATATGCTCGTTTGAAGTACGTGTAATGTTAAAAAATGGAACAATATAAGTAGTTAACCATAAAAAAAGTGAGTGCGCACATGTGAAAAGATATCGTCATTACTGTACATAAGAATATGAAAGCAACACTTATTTATTGCTGAAGGGTTAAATGTTGTACTCTATAGACAAAGAGAGAGAGAGAGCAGCTGAAGTGCTGGATGTAAACAAACCTTAATTTCCTGGGTTTTTTTTTTTTTTAGGGGATTAGCCCACCTGGGCATAAGTCACTGACCCACAATTTAATACTCCTGCTATAATAATGATAATTTGCAAGAAAAAAAAAAAAAACTGCCTATGTACCTGTTGGAGAAAGTAAAATTGTTTTGGACCACGGGAGTTTGCGGAGCACAGAATGCCGGACTAGAGAGTTACAACCTGTAGTTGTTTGTGGACTTGAAATTGTTAACCTTTGTGGACTTTGAATAATTGATAATGTTTGTCGACTTTGAATTTGTTTTGCCTTTTGTGGACCGGGAAATTTACGCGTCGGGTCCGAGGACCGGCAATAATTATCGACCCACGCGAACTCGGAATAACGTATTACGCCGGTGGAATCGGACTAATTTTTTATCCCGTGTGGACTTTGAATAATTGTGTATTTTGTGTGGAATTGGAATAATTGTTATCCTTTGAAAATGTCTCATTGTTTGTGTATTTTGAATAATTGTCAATTTGTGTGGACTTTGAATAATTTATTGTTTGTGTACTTGGAATAATGATCAATTTGTGTGGACTTTGAATATTTTGTGGAGTTTGAATAATTTATTGTTTGTGTACTTGGAATAATGTTCAATTTATGTGGACTGAATAATTAATGATGTTTGTTGATATTTGAATATTTTGTTATGTTGTGTGGACTTTGAATATTTTGTGGAGTTTGAATAATTTATTGTTTGTGTACTTGGAATAATGTTCAATTTATGTGGACTTTGTATAATGATTGTGGACTTTGAATATCCTTTGTGGACTTAGTATTAATTGATCCTGTGTGGACTTTGAATAATTAATATGTATTTGGACTTGTTATTATTTTATCGTTTGTGGACTTTGAATAATTGTCAATGTAGACTGAGTATTTTTGTCATGTTGTGTGGACTTAGAATAATTTGTATCCTCTGTGGACTTGTAATAATTGTTAATGTATGTGGACTTGGAATAATTTATGATGTTTGTGGAGTTAGTATTATTTTAGCCTTTGTGTATGTGTAGTTGGTATGTTTGTGGACTTGTTATTATTTTATCGTTTGTGGACTTTGAATATTTTGTGGATATAGAAAATGTTTTATCGTCTGTGGCTCCGTATTAATGTATTACGTCCGTGGACCGGGAATAATTTTGTATCGTGTGTGGACTTGTAAAATTTTTCATTGTTTGTGGACTTAGATAAATGTTCATATGTTGTGGAGTTAGTATTATTTGAACTTGTGTGGACTTGTAATAATTTTCAATGTTTGTGGACTTAGAATAACTTTTAATGTATGTGGACTTTGAATAATTGTCATCGATTGTGGACTTATTATATTTTTGATGTTTGTGGACTTTGTATTATTTTATTGTTTGTTTTTGTATTTGGAAATATTGTCATTGTTTGTGGAATTAGAAAAATTTTCATATGTTGTGGAGTTAGTATTATTTTATCCTGTGGACTTGTAATAATTTTCAATGTGTGTGGACTTGGTATATTTTGTGCTTTGAAATATTGTCTTTGTTTGTGGACTTAGTTTTTTTTCCTCTTGTGGAATTGGACTAATTTATGTTTGTGGACTTGGAAAATTTTTTTATCCTTTATGGACTTAGAAAATTTTCATGGTGTGTGGACTTAGTATTTTGTTGTTGTTGTGTGGACTTCGTTTTTTTTCCTGTGTTGTGGACTTAGAAAATTTGTCGTTGTTTGTGGACATAGAATAATTTTCATGTTGTGGACTTAGAAAAATT